GCAATCAATTCCTGCCGTATGTCATCATAACAAAATGGGGAGTGAAACGTTACCTGACTATATAGAAATACCTACTGATGGGACTGATGTCTGGGAAATTGATATCAGGCATCTGAAACTAGGAAACAAAGTTGCATCTGGGTCTTATGGTGATCTGTAAGTTTCACCTTTATCTAATTTCTGTTTTTAGTATTACAAATTCTCAGTTTACTTACTTATATGATTTAATATTTCAGGTATAGAGGCACATATTGTAGTCAGGATGTGGCTGTCAAGGTCCTGAAGCCTGACCACGTAAATACAGACATGTTGAGAGAATTTTCACAGGAAGTTTATATAATGAGGTATGTTCAAATATGTTCTCTTAGTTGTCAAAGAACATTTTGTATCAACTGCTAACTTGTGGCTATGCCCAAAGCAAGCTAGTACTAGTTGTGTTTTCTAGAAATTACTGAACTTCCATTTCATTGTACTTGTCTTAGTAATATTTTTTCTGGTGCAAATACCGTTGTTCCTTGTGCTTGTCAACGAGTGACTTGCTGGAAATTCACACACTTTTTGACAAAAATTATACTCTATTCTTCCTTTTTCTTTATAAATCCGCTACTCTTGATTTTAAGTTGTTTCTAAGGCTTTTCTCTTCCATTTTTTCTTAATCATACTCAACTATCTCAACTTATCTTGGTTTGTAGGAAAATAAGGCACAAGAACGTAGTGCAATTCATTGGTGCATGCACACGACCTCCAAATCTCTGCATTGTGACTGGTAAAATCTAGTAGATCAAACTATAAATTTTACATTACTAGTGCAAGTTGGTGCAGCCTACTAAATATAGTTCATTATATTCCTAGATGCAAAAACACTGCCTTTGGAGCAAAGCTAAGGTTCAAGATTTGAACAAATTACCAATGTAGCTTCTGTGGATTTACTTACTAGTACTTAAAGTTTCTTTTTTTCTGGATTGACTTGTACCTTTCATATGTTTCAAAATATGATCATTTTCTGATGCTTATAAGTACCTTATCAGAATTCATGGCTCGAGGAAGTATATATGATTTTCTGCATAAGCAAAGGGGTGTTTTTAAGATTCGAACTCTTCTCAAAGTAGCACTTGATGTTTCCAAAGGAATGAATTATCTGCACCAAAATAATATTATCCACAGGGACTTAAAAACTGCCAATCTTCTGATGGATGAAAACGAAGTAAGCATTGATTTGTCATTTGTTCAGCTAAATGTTTTATTTGTTCTCTCCCTGGAACCTGCTTTAGATGTGTACAGTTATTTATTTCTGTTCTCTTTCTGGGAGTCTTTATTATCTGTTATCGAAATCGTAGATAATTTAGGTTTATTCATCCTGAAAGAGTAGATCCTTCCTGGACAGGTTGTTAAGGTTGCTGATTTTGGGGTTGCCAGAGTGCAGGCTCAATCGGGAGTGATGACAGCTGAAACTGGAACGTATCGTTGGATGGCTCCAGAGGCATATATTCCTGGACTTCCTAAGTTTTGTGCATATTCTTTATTTCATTAATCTGCATCATCGACTGTTTTTTCTTCATTTTCTGTACATATTATGTGTGGAGTTGTTTCATCATTACTAAAACTGATATCCCTTCTAGAATATGGTCTTTTGGAACTTAGATGATTTATATATAGATTATGCTTTAGTTAGAAGTTTATACAAATGTTTGATTGTGTTGTTCTTCCCTGCATTTGATTGGTCCAGTGTTCGATATCTTCACAGGTTACGTTAAAAGCATAGAGTACTTACTGGATCTGCTTCAGGTTAATGATACAGTTAGAAGCCTGAATAAAATGGTTAATTCTATTATATGCTATTTGTCATGGGTTAAATCTTGGTTGCACTTAATGGAAAGTAGTTAATAGTTCTAGTTGTCCTTCATGCGCTTTTTACGAGTGTCATATGATGAGAAACAGAGTGTAGTCTGTTTGTATTGCTATCTTGGTTGTCTCTTATACGTGAGAAATGGAACTGTTAGGAAATCCTCTCTCTCTCTCTCTCTCTCTCTATATATATATATATATATATTTGGGATGGAGGAAGCTGGCAGGATTTGCATACACCTGATATCGCAAAGTTCATTTTTTGTGAAGATTTCTGTTATGTTTCCACTGTTTCTTTGATCTTTCCTCCAATCTTCATAAGCTTGTAAGGGACTCTTGAATCATCCCTGGAAAGAGACAGGGTTATTAGCACATCCTGCATAGTCAATCTTAGGTTTTTTTTGCATCTATATTCTCCTTCCTTTTTATATCTGATAATGAAGCATTTTTAGATTTGTCTCAATGAATGTAGGTTATTGAGCACAAACCATATGATCATAAGGCAGATGTTTTCAGCTTTGGAATAGCACTCTGGGAACTTCTGACAGGAGAAGTAAGCCCGCCCCTGCTCTCTCTCTGCCCCCCCCCCCCCCCCCCCCCCAAAAAAAATAAATCTGTGAACCTTTTTTGTTAATTGATGATGAAGCTTATTTATATTTGTTTGTGATTGAATATCAGCTCCCATATTCATATTTAACTCCATTACAAGCTGCAGTAGGTGTCGTTCAAAAGGTATTTATTGATGTCTTGTCATAACATAAATATGTGACCATCTATTTCTTTTCTCATAATAATTCATTTTATGTTACATTGCAAATAGGGTCTACGGCCTACAATCCCAAAACACACACATCCTAAACTTGTTGAACTGCTCGAAAGATGCTGGCGGCATGATCCAACTCAAAGGCCCCATTTCCATGAAATTATAGACATTCTTCAACAAATAGCAAAGGAGGTATTATACTGTCCAATACTCCTTTTGGTCCTCATAGCACAAATTCTAAGCATTATGGTGAAACAGGTTGCAGATGATCGGGAAGAGCAACACAAGGATAAACACAGTGGTTTCTTTTCAGCTCTGAGAAGGGCACATCACTGAAAACTTCAGAGAAAGAGAGAATGCTTAATAACTTATCTGATCGTCTAGGGCATTTTTAGTTGTACCTTGTAGTATTTACAGTGTAGAGTGTCATATCTGATTGGCACGTGAATCTCATCCGAGGATTTTATCTGTTATCCTTCTTTGTTTCTAATTTCTTTGTTGAGTGTTTCTGATGTTGCGTGTTGTTTTACTTCTCCTGCTTCATTTTTCCCCAGTTTGCACCTAACCTTCTGTAAATAAGCGCCTTCTAATTTTCCCTTGTGATTGCTGAAACATTTGTGTTTTACCAGAGTGAACTGATATAGTATTTGTTTCTTAATTTGAGTTGGACGTTATTAGGTGAACATAAAAAAGAAAAATAGTTATGAGTCTTTTGGTTGCAGCTATATTACAATTTTGTAATGAAATGATTAAACTTTTCGATTGGATCCTTAAAAAAGAAAACTTGTGGAACCTGTTTGAAGGAATAGCAATGCTTTTGTGGAGAAAAGAAAAGAGAAAGACCACCAGATTTGGTAAGGAAAATGATATATTTTGTGTCTATAAAAATTGAATAGTAGTATGTAAGGTATGTTTCAATGTTACACAAAGGTTATGGAATATTAAAGAAGTAAACATGTATTAGAGGGTGGACTGGGAGAAACAATAAAGTAGTAGTCAAGATTGGAGGGGTAAGTCTTGAGCACCCTGACCAAGGAGTTGCCGAGCACGAACTCTGACCTGGAGCCGGACAAGTGCATGCATACAATGAAGGGCAATACGTGTTTGCCTCCTCACACATACCCCGCGGACCAGTGCTTGCAGTTTGACCAGGCTCTTGAGTGCTCTAAATGCCCGTCTTGCCTGTTAATTCAAAGGAATAGAGTAAAATTAGTTGCACGAATCAGTTATAAGCAATAGATAAACGGGTAGATGAATACAAGTGGCCTCTGAAATTGCTTGATTTTGATGGCTGCAATATCTCGTTGTGT